CACGGTCCGTCGACTCGCCCTTGTGTCAGGTCTGCAAGGCGGAGCCAGGAGACGAGGGGCATCGTTTGTTCAGATGTGAATTCAGTGCTGTGGTCAGACGCGAGCTTGACCTGGACGATGTCACGCGTGCTGGCAGAGAATGCGAGCATCAGGATCCCCTCCTCCACAGGGGCCTCGTGGACTCTTTGCTTGACCTCCAACCTCCCCCGAGGCTCGATGGGCTCGTGGAGTATGACGGGCCCATGGTGGGAGGGGCCCTCTCAGGTCTCGTTGGCATCGACGGGTCCTGTTTGGCGCCCAATTTTCCTCTGGCTTCTAGGGCTGGTTGGTCTTGCGGCGTGAAGATAGACCGCCATGGGAACTCGGAAGGAGCCATATTTGGGCCCCACCCTGGAGTCTTGCAGGAGATCGGAGCAGCAGAGCTCTGGGCTTTTTATATGTGTCTGTGCAATTGTGTAGGCGAGGTAACGGTCGTCACCGATTGTAAGTCTCTCATCGATGGTGTGGCGGCAGGGCCTGAAGCGTGCTGCCGTCCCACGAAGGTGTATTCTGAAGTTTGGTGCAAGATTTGGTTTAAGATCGACGAGATAGGTCTTGAGCAGATTCACTTGCACTGGATGCGAAGCCACGAATCCTGGACTCATGCACAGGCACAAGGGGTCCCGTGGCTTCACTACAGAGCTAATAAGCTAGCTGATGTGTATGCCAAGAAAGGCGCGAGGTTGCACCCTTTTTCTGAGGATGTAGAGGAGTTGAGGCCGCTTTTGTGGTGGTCGGCCTATTTCGTTGCCCTCTACTCAGGCAGGATCCTCGCGCACCTCGCCGCCTCTTCTTTCCCCGATGCTCTCAAACCTCGGCTCCGTCGCGCTTTCGACCCGCTCGAGCTCGTGTCGGATCCCAAAGGGCATCAGGCGAAGTATTCTGGAGGCCGCTGGGTGTGTTTGAGTTGTGGCCGCAGCTGCTCGACCCGAGCCAGGCTGGTGCACGACAGGTGCCCTGGGGTCATGGCTAAGCTGGCTCAGGCACATTGGTCTCACAGGCTCCTGTGCTCGGGGGGTCCTGGAGGTCTTGTGTGGTGCAGTGTGTGCGGGGCGTATGCCAGACGGCAGATTTTGGCCCTCGCGGACCGCTGCGCAGGACACCCCACGGATGGCCGAGCACGGGCCTTGCGCCAATTAAAGCAGGGGCTGGACCCCTCCTCCAAGCGGCCCATCCCCCGCTCTTGCCCTGTGCAGCCCCCTCTCCATCCCCGCCGCGTCGGGTGGGCTCGGGGGCTGTATGAGGTCTTGGGCGAGAGGCGGGACATCCGCTGGGAGGATTCGGAGTAGGGAGCCTGGAGTGTGTAGGCAGTCCTGAGGCTTCCTCGGCGTGTAGTGGAGGCGTTCGGATTGCGGTGGTTCCCTCGGGGGCCGCCGTCAGAGGAGCGGAAAGCGGAAAGAGGAGGAGGAGGAGGAGTGAGGTGGAGGAGGTGGAGAGGAGGAGGAGGAGGAGGAGGAGGGGGAGGTGGTGGAGGGGAGGAGGTGGAGGAGGGGAGGAGGATGGGGCATGGCCGCATGAAGCCTCAGGAAGGCTGGAGGGGGAGAGGGAGGAGGGAAGAGGAGGGTGGAGGTGGAAGAGAGGGGGAGGGAGGAGGAGGAGGAGGAGGTGGAGAGGAGGAGGGGAGGAGGAGGAGGAGGAGGAGGAGGAGGAGAAGGAAAAGGAGAAGGACGGAGGGCGAGGAAGAGGCATAACCCTCGCCACTCCCACCACTGCCCTCCCCCCCTTTCGCCGCACCCACGTGTCCTCCTTTTGTGCCCGACGAGGCGGGGGCGGTGCAGAGGCAGTGAGAGGCAGCTGGGGCAGAGGAGAAAGAGCATGCAGGCAAGCAGGGCGGCAGGAGGAGGAGGAGGAGGAGGAGGAGGAGGAGGAGGAGGAGGAGAAGGAGCAGGAGCAGGAGCAGGAGCAGGAGCAGGAGGAGCAGCAGGAGCAGCAGGAGGAGCAGCAGAGCAGCAGGAGGATGGGAGGAAGAGGAGGAGTGAGGAGGAGGAGGAGGGAGGAGGAGGAGGAGGAGGAGGAGGAGGAGGAGGAGGAGGAGGAGGAGGGAGGAGGAGGAGGAGGAGGGAGAGGGAGGAGGGAGGAGGGAGGAGGGAGGAGGAGGAGGAGGAGGAGGGAGGAGGGGAGGAGGAGGAGGGGAGGAGGAGGAGGATGAGGAGGAGGAGGAGGAGGAGGAGGAGGAGGAGGAGAGGAGGAGGAGGAGGAGGAGGAGGAGAGGAGGAGGAGGAGGGAAGGAGGAGGAGGAGGAGGAGGAGACGAGGAGGGGGAGGAGGAGGAGGAGGAGGAGGAGGAGGAGGAGGAGGAGGAGGAGGAGAGGGAGGAGGAGGAGGGGAGGAGGAGGAGGAGAGGAAGGAGGAGGAGGAGAGGAGGAGGAGAGGAGGGGAGGAGGAGGAGGAGGAGGAGGGGGCACGGCGCGGCCGCCTCAACCTGGCACATCCTCGCTGCTCCACTCTAGGGGGAGGGCGCGGCAGGAAGCAATTCATGACGGAACGCGGCAGAAAAGAAGGCAGGAATGGGGGAGGGAGGAAGGGAAGAGGAGGTGGAGAGGGAAGAGAGGGGGAGGAGGAGGGGGAGGAGGAGGAGGAGGAGGGAGGAGGGAGGAGGAGGAGGGAGGAGGGAGGAGGAGGAGGAGGAGGAGGAGGAGGAGGAGGAGGGAGGAGGAGGGGGAGCAGGAGGAGGAGGAGGAGGAGGAAAAGAAGGAGGAGGAGGAGGGGAGGAGGAGGAGGGAAGGAGGAGGGGAGGAGGAGGAGGAGAGGAGGAGCAGGAGGAGGAGGAGGAGGAGGAGGAGGAAAGAGAAGGAGGAGGAGGAGGAGGAGGAGGAGGAGGAGGGAGGAGGAGGAGGAGGAGGAGGAGGGGGAGGGAGGAGCAGGA